ACCGGCTTTGGTTTAAGAATCCATTTGGAGCCTCTTTTCCTCGTTTCTCCTGGGAAATCGGTAGCAGCAATGAGTGCTTTAAAAAAAAAAAAACAACCAAAAAACAAAGGTAGATTGTGGCCCAGCTGCCCGGGGCCGTCAGCCTTTCTCCCGGCGAGGGATCCAGTGAGTCCCGGCGAGCGGCCGGCAGCGAATCGCAGCCCCGGTGTCGCATCGCTCCCCTCCTTCCTTGTCTTCCTCGCTCTCTCATTCCCATTAAATAACAAACAAGACCAGTTTGGGAAAAAATTCAAAAAGGAAAAGCTACAACCAAAACACTCTATTCTTCACTGTTTTCTCCTTCACCTCTTACCTCCGTTTCGCCGTCAGCCTTTCTCCCGGCGAGGGATCCAGTGAGTCCCGGCGAGCGGCCGGCAGCGAATCGCAGCCCCGGTGTCGCATCGCTCCCCTCCTTCCTTGTCTTCCTCGCTCTCTCATTCCCATTAAATAACAAACAAGACCAGTTTGGGAAAAAATTCAAAAAGGAAAAGCTACAACCAAAACACTCTATTCTTCACTGTTTTCTCCTTCACCTCTTCCTCCTCCTCCTTTTCCTCCTCCGGGATGTGTTGCAAAGAAAGAGAGTTACGGGTTGGATACTGCACTTGGGGAAGGGGAAAGTCGTCAGACACCACGGGACGCCCGACCTGAAAAAGAGGGAAGGGGCCATTAGCTTGTGTCCTGAAAGATGGAGGGAAGGACCAAATCCATTGGAAACACACACACACACACACACACACATGCAGACGGTCCCAGGCGCAGATCCCTCCACATGCTCAGGGATGTAACACAGCGATGCTTTGGGCAAGCCCAGCCCCACCACCACATCCTCCAGGGTACCACAGGGTGCAGCAGGGCCAGGTCCCTTTGTCCCCCCTCACCTCTCCACAGGGCCAGGGTGGACTGGGGTCAGTAGGGTCTGTTGGCATCTTTCGGCCGCTTTAGCTGGACTTTTAGCCTCTTCATGCCGATCTGGAAGCCATTCATGGCCTGAATGGCCGCCTGAGCGCTCGTCGGATTGTCAAAACTGACAAAACCTGGGGGAGAAGTGACACAGGAGTTTGTCACTACAAACATCACAGGTGGCTGCTTTACCTCTACCTCAACCAAGGCACTGAAGTCCTGCAGGATGCTCCCAGGTTGGGGGTGCTGGGAGAAGGGCATCATGGGGGAACAGCACAGCCCCAGACTGCAGGGGCTGGCAGGGGATGGAATTTGTGGGGTCACTCTGTCAAAGAGATGGGGACTGCAGGGACACCGAGGTGACAGGATCTGTGGGTACACCAAGTTCTGAAGGTCTGTGGAGATGCAGGGGTGATGGGTTCTGTGGGGATACCAGGATGACAATATTTCTGGGGCTACCATGGTGACAGGTCTGCGGGTCAGACCATGCTGATGGCAGTGGTGGCACTCAGCCACATGAGCAGAGTATCAGTACCCGTGGCAGGTGTGTTAGTCTGAGGACACGGGGACAGTGTAAGAGGGGACAGCAGGAGAGCACACATCCTTCTGTCCCGGAAAGGTGTGGGACAAAATACTGGCCCTTGGCACCAGGATGGATGGCCACGTCACTCCAGCCACCACCATGTGGCTTTGGTCACCTGTTGGTGCTGCCTGAGATGAATCCCTGAGGTGGGGACATCAGGGAGACATTGGACATCTGAGCTGGAGGCCAGGGAGAGACAGACCCTCAAGATGAGATGTTGAAGAGAGCCAGACTCCCAAGCTGGGACACTGAGAGCTGGACCCCTGAGCTCAAAAATAAGGAGAGCTGGACCCCTAAGTTGAAGAGCAGGGAGAACTGGACCCCCAAGCTGGAGACTGGGAAGAGCTGGGATGTCAAGGAGAGCCAGATCCCCAAGCTAGGATGCTGAGGAGAGCTGGATCCCTGAACTGGGATGCTGAGCAGAGCTGGATCCCTGAGCTGAGATGTTGAGGAGAGAGGTACCCCTGAGAGGGGGACTGGGAAGACTGGAGCTCTGAGCTGGCACACCAGGCAGAGCCACACCTTGGGACTTACCAAAGCATTTACTCTGGTTGGTGGCACGGTCCACAAAGACTTTGGCAGAGATGACATTGCCGAAAGGCAAGAACATCTGCGTGAGCTCTGCATCCCCGAACTCCTGGGGCAGGTGATAAATAAACAGGTTACAGCCCTCGGGACCTGGATGACACACAGAGGACAGACACATGTCAGCCATGTGGTGGGGGGCACCCCCAGGCAGTGGATCTGTCCCCATGGTGGGGTGACCCCCCACCCCTCACCTTCTCGCTGCTGCTGCGGGATGATGGGCGCTTGCTGGGGAAAGGCTTGGCTGATGGGTGCGTAGGCAGTGGGATATGCTGCTGGAAGAGAGAAACATGGAGCTGAGGCCACCACACCACCCCAGTCCCAGAAAGGACTGGGCCCCCATTGTCATCTGCAATAGAAGTGCCTGTCCTGCCCCAGGGTTGCTGGCTCTGCCTTTCTCACCCCTCCCAGCATGCCAGAGATGTGAGAATGGCTCTACCAGGAGGGACTTTTCTGGCAGCAGTGACACAGCCTCAAGGCTGAGGAAAGCTGGCATTTTTGGTTGAAAAAAACCCAACAATTTGGGGTCCAAAACTTGATTTTCTATTGAAACTCTGGACATTGCTGTTAGTGTTCCTAATTAAATGTCTGCTGGGCTCAACATACTTTCACGGGAGGCTTTGACTCCCTTCTCTCCATGGCCCATCTCCTTGGCAATCAGATTTGGCCACATGATGAACATCCAAGGTCTTTTGGTATCTTGGTGTGCAGCCAGCTCTCAGTCACCACCCAAACCTCACCTAGGTACCACTTCCAGGTCTCCCCCATGGAGTTCTCTCAGCCCCGTGGGCACTAAAATTCACTTTCCACCATCTAAAATTTGCATGGAGGGCCATGCCAGGAATGCATTTATGTTGGTGGGATGAGGGGACGGCACTCTCCTGGTTCTTTCCTAATTAATCCCTGCCCAAGCACACTGGCCCAGTCCTAAGGTTCAGCACCAAGGTAACATTCACCTCCCAAAAATAAGGGTGAAGAGCAAAGAGGGGAGAGAGGGAAGAAGTGGGAAGCGAAGTTTGAGACCTGCATAGTGCTGCATGCCGGCGTAGGCCTGCTGGAGGGGGTCTGCCACCGTAGGGCTTTGAGCTGGGAAGAGAAAATAAAGGAGAAGGAAGAGAGAATAAGCCAGAGAAAGCCAGGGATGCACAGTTCCCATGGAAAAGGGATCTTGGCCAAGTGCTGCCACAGAGAGGCAGAACTGCTCCTTGCCCAAATTCCCTCCTCCCTGCACTGCTCACAAAGGCAGCAATACCAGGGGAGGAGGGAATTTGCTGGTTCATCCAGCGTGTTCCTGGCGTGGGGAGCACCCCTGGAGCATCCTGCACGAGCCAACCACACGTTCCCAGCCCTGGGGAACACAACGGAGCGCCCTGGCAGGCGGGAGGAGGGTACCTGGGTAGGGGTGGATGCCGTTGGTGTAGATGGTCTCAGAAGTGGGCTGCCCATTGGTCTGGGGCGGCAGGGGGCTGAAGCCGTTCACGCCGATCGGTGTGGCGATGCTGGGCACCGGCGCTGTGCTGATACCCGGCGGGGTGCTCGTACCTGTGGGAGGGGGTGTCAGTGCTGGCAGCCCCCCCAGAGGGTGCTGAGCAGCAATAGAGGGTGTTTGTACCTGAAGAGGGGGTGAGGGGGGCAGCCACCAGCCCGCTGACGTTGAAGGCAGCCATCTGCTGCATCTGGGCGGCAGCGAAGGCAGCCATGGGGATGGAGCCCCCCTGTGCCGCTGCCATCAGGGCTGCCTGCTGCTGCATGATCTTAGAGAGAGAAAGGGGGGAATAAAGGAAATTGAGGGAGAAGCAGAGAAAAAGAGAGAGAGAG